TTAAAAAAAAGAACTGCTAGATACTATGTCATTGGACTTGTAGAATGTGTAATACTGTGAAAAAATCAGAAATTAGATTAAAATTCAAACATTGCAGCCGTCACATGTCTTTCTGTTAGGTATTCAAGGTGTTTTCTATTTGCTGCATGACGAATGACACATAATGACAGTGGTCTAATGGGGAGGGGGACTGCTCTTGTACCCAGGTGCCATGCTTCCCCCATAGACGCCATAGCCACTCTGTTTCGTCTTCACTTCACCACCCAAAAGCAAAATAAAACTGAAGTTCCAAAAAAAACAAAAACAAACATGCAGTATGCCCTTATTTTGTTCAAATGACTGCCTCTCAATCTAATAACTACATATATGTTTAGATCATTTTCGTAGGTCAATAAGGTTTATTAGGTTTCATAACAAATTCCCATTCCCTTAGGTTATAAAATAATAGTTTCAAGAAAACAGCGGCACACACCCATCCACCAGATTTATGCCGAAACACCAATCAGGGAAAATGGTCTTTTCAAAAGCAGGCCCGAGAGCAAACTCACGTGAACCTCAACCCCCCTCTCAGACAACCCGGAGAAATGCATCCCAGGGCTTAACTTCGCAAGGCGTTCCTGAGTGCTCCAAATGCTGAGTAAACCCCACACCAAACTCACTGTCGCCAAATACATTTCAACATGTAGCGACCCTATAGGACAGAGTCGAACTGCCCATGTGGGTTTCCGAGGCTGTAACTCTTTACAAGAGTAGACAGGCCCCTCTTTCTCCCTCAGAGGAGCTGGTGGGTTCGAACTGCCGACCTTGCAGTTTGCATGGCAACGCATCACCCGCTCCCCTTTGCTCTGCTGCTAACTTGGTGGCTGGAATCCACCATGAGGCACCTCGGAAGAAAGGCGTGGCGATTTACTTCTCAAACCATAACCATTAGAAACCCGGTGGAACGCAGTTCTAGGCTGACACCCCGTTGGGTTGCAGTGAGTGGAGGCAAAATCTTTGGCCACTGGTTTTCAGATTGGAAACGAAAACAATGACGCTCCTAGAAGACAAGGAGGGAAACTCATCCTGACCCCAGAGAGCAACAGGCCATGAAGGAGATGGGAGGCAAAGACAAAAAGGGAACGCAGAAACAGCAGCGGGTGGAGTGCAGCGATGCGGAAATAGCCCCCAACCCCCCTATGTGCTCATTTGACTGATGGAGTCCAAAGAGGGGCACGGCGGGTCCAAATTCAGAGCAAGTGGGCAACAAAACGGGGAATCCACCAGGCAAGCTGGAAGGCATTCAAAAAACCCCTGAACCTATTGCCATCGAGTGGATGCAGACTCACGCTGGGCCCACATAAGGCGGAGGGGAATTGCTCTATCTCATCTTTAACAAGGCATCGCGGGGCCACGGTAGTCAAGCCCTGGACTGCTAACCACAAGGTCAGCAGAGCAAACCCAGGAGCGTCTGCTCCCATGAAGATGTGCGCGGCCTGGGAAACCCTGGGGAGCAGCTCGACTCTGTCCTGAAGGGTCACTATGAGGGGGGATGGACGGGGCGGCAGTTGCCACGCCTTTCTTCTGGGCACCACTGGCTGGGTTCAAACCTTCCTGTTAGAGTTGCTGTGTGCCATCTACTGGTTCTGACTCATAGCGACCCTATAGGATAGAGTAGAACTGCCTCATAGGGTTTTTTCCTAAGCTATAAATCTTTAAGGAAGCAGATAAAAATTCTCACTGCCATCGAGTGGCTCCCAACTCAGAGTGACCCTTTAGGGCAGAGTCGAACTGCCCCCGTGAGTTTCCAAGCTTTACAGTAGAAAGCCTCATCTTTCTCCCTTGGAGCAGCTGATGGTTTCGAACTGCTGACCTTGCAGTTAGCAGCCCACTGGTAACTCATTATGCTAAAGTCAGGGAGCAGATAGCCAGGTCTTTCTCCCACAGAGCTGCTGGTGGGTTTGAACCGATGACCCTTTGGTTAGCAGCCAGTCGCTCAACTACTATGCCATTAGGGCTAGTCAGGCACAAACCATCTGAGCCACCAGGCACCCCTAAGGCCTTCAAACAGGTCCAATTGCATGTGCCCATGTGGAACTGTCTGAAGTCCCGGGTTCACCCAGGAGACACCCCAGGCTGAGCCCTGACTTTAGCACCCCTCCCGGCAAGCCTACCTGGGTCAGATGCTGCTCAGAGGCAAAGCCCAGGCCGTAGACGGTGTTGGCACGACTGTCTGCCCACTGCCCAAACTTCTGGGAGGTTTTGGTGAAGGTCATGTTGGGAGTGACGGTGCTGTTGATGATGGCCTAGGGGGCAAAGTTCAAAGGACTGAGACCAGAGAACAGAAAGCAGTGAGCCAGAGGCCTGGAGCTGCCATTTGAAGAAGGGGAAACTATAGCCTAGGAAGGGGCAGGGGTCACACACAGAGCAAGGACCTCTGGTGCTCCCCTCTCCTGCCCTGAGGCCCGGCCGCACCTTGGCACCTCCGATGCTGATGATGCGGTAGACATTGCGGGTGGCATCGTAGAAGTAGGAGACGGTGAGGGCATGCTTGCCCGCTGGGATCCAGTTCCGCTTGGTGGCCGGGTCGATCTGGAACACGTGGGCACGAGTGCTGAAGATGGGCTGCTCCCTGCGGGGAGAGGATGCTCAGCAGGGGCGGCCTCGCCAGGCTAGGGTGGCCAGGCCAGGCTGGGGGTGGGGGGTGGGCATGCTCACCTGGCTGTGGACATTGGTCAGGCTGGGCTGGGCAGGCTCCACGGGGCAGACAGAGGGAGGCAGGAGCTGTTGGTTCAAAGGGTTACATGCTGGACTGGGACCCCCTACCCAGAGGCTCCTGAGAGTAAAACCTGGCTATCGACTGCCAGAAGGAGCCCCGATGGCCTAGTGCTTATGAGTTGGGCTGAGAGCCACAGGATCAGTAGTCTGAAACCACCAGCTGCTCCAAAGGAGAAATATGGGGCTTGAGCTCTGGTGGCGTGGTGGTAATGCGTTGGGCTGCAATCCTCAAGGTCCAGCCGTTCAAAACCATCAGTCCCTCTGAGGGAAAAACAGAGCTTTCTACTCCCATAAACGGTTAGTCTTGGAAACTCAAAGGGGCAGTTCTACCCTGCCCTAGAGGGTCGCTATAGGTGGATAGAGTAGGGTTTTAGGTTATCAACTTCCAAAGGTTGGTTACAGCCTTGAAAACCGTTGTGGGGTCCTCATGAATGGAACTAACCACAACCCCCAACCAGGAAATCCCATAACAAGCCCCCTGCCCCTCTCTGGTCTCCTAAGCTAGAGGAAGAGGGCTGAGGGACCTGGGAGGGGTGGGAGGTGGGGGGACGGAGCAGGTCTCCTCTCAGCATCCCTGGTATCTGAGTGTGACACACACACACACACACACACACACACACACACACACACGCTTCCCCCAGGGTCATCCTGGTCACGGGAGACATCCACTAAGCAGCCCCTGTAATTCCAGACTAAGGGAACTTTACAGCAGACCAACTACACACACCTGAAAGCAGGACACACCAGTAAAAAGTGGGTCACCCCCAGGGGCCGACTGAGGAGCCAGCCCCTGCTGGACCCAGGAGAGACCCCAACTCTGGCCCTGTGGCAGAGGCACCCCTAGGAATCAGAGTATAGACATGACACCACACCCCGAGAATGGTTGGAAAGACAAGAAGTAGCATATGGATCCACACAGGGCAGGGTGGACTCCTGATATGGGGAGGCCTGACTCCCCAGCCTCCTGGTTGGCTTCTCTGGCCACCACCCTATAGAAAGCAGGACTAGAAGCCAGGAAGGAGCCCTCCTGGCCTTCCCCTGCACATCCAAATTATGCCCAGTGGGTCTGAGGACACCCAGGGAGGCCCTCGGATGGGAGGGTCAGGGGGGAGGGGAGCCTGGCCCAGCAGCCTCGGTAGTCAGAGGGGGGTGCCACCCCACCCGTTCTGGGCAGCTGTTATCCTGGTCACAGGTCTGAAACCCGAGCCCCTGGATTGGGGGAGGGGCAGCTGCTCTGGCCAGGGCTGGGGGCGGGTCCAGGCCCGATGAAGTGGGGTGGGGGTGGGCGGGAGACGCGGGGGCTCCCCAGAACCTAGGTCCTTCCGGCCTGGCAGCTCCTGCCTGGACTAGAGGCGTTTGTCCCGGCAAAGTTACTCACCTCGGAGTCATGCGCCTCGGGCGCCGCCGGCCTGCGCAGAGCTTCCCAGGGGCCCGACCCTGCGTGGTGCCCGAGACCCCAATCCCGGCAAGAGTGAGGCCCCAGCCCGTGCGCCCTAGTTGGGGGGGCCTGATATTCAGACAGGAGCACTTGGCGCTGGTAGCCGGGTACCCCGTGCGTGCCCCAACTTCGGAAAGCACAGAGCCTGGGGCTTCGGGGATCCCCGCGACGATCCCGCTATTCCGAGTCTGGAACTTCGGAGACCTCGGTCAGTCGGTGACCGGGAGTCCAGCACTTCAGGGAGCCTGCGCTGTGGCCCGGTTTCAAATCCGGAACTTCGGGGATCATAGCGTTGCGCCCCTCGATCCCGGGTCCCGGATCAGCCCCCTCGGCCACCCCCCCAATCTCAGAATGTGGGGTGTCTCTTCGCCACCTCTGCACCTCGGATTGAGGGGGTCACCCCGACCCCGGAACTTCAGGGTCCCGCGCCCCGACCCCGGCCGGTCGCGAGGGGCTCACCC